TCCCGAGCTCCGCACTAGTGGCCGCTTTCCAAGAGCTGGGTCAGTGCAAACACAGCTCGTCAGCGGGACCGTCCAGGGGGTGGATACCTGCAGGGGATCCTGGTTCAAACGCCCATGGACAGGTGGTGTCCAGGTTTGCACCGGACAATCCAGTTTTGGGGCGTTCTGTTCGGGAAACAAACTGAGAAAATACCAGACAGACATATAAATGTCCAGTATTTTCTACGTTTTTATTATTATCAAGTGCAAACACAGCTCGTCAGCGGGACCGTCCAGGGGGTGGATACCTGCAGGGGATCCTGGTTCAAACGCCCATGGACAGGTGGTGTCCAGGTTTGCACCGGACAATCCAGTTTTGGGGCGTTCTGTTCGGGAAACAAACTGAGAAAATACCAGACAGACATATAAATGTCCAGTATTTTCTACGTTTTTATTATTATCATGAGTATCAGTACAGCGGCTACTGACTGGCTGGTAGGCGCGCTCACACTGCGTGAGTGTGTCTACCAGCCAGGCAGTACACAACTACGCGGTAGAGGGGGGGAAACCGGGGCCATGCGCGGGATGGGCAGCACCCCAGGATCTGCCTTCATCTGGGCCAGCCCCCCTCCCCAGTGGCCGGTTCCCCCCAGACAGCCCAGCTTCCTCCAACCCCCTCCCAGCCAGCCCTGCTTCCCACTGGTCGGCTCCCCCCCCAATCTCTCGCAGCCAGCCCCACTCGCCCCAACCCGCTCCTGGCCAGCCCCACTTCCTTCGCAGACGGTTCCTCCCCCACATCTGAGATCAAGTGTGTCCAGTATTTTTTTTAAACCATCTAGTAACCCTAACAGGTGGCAGCCTCGTGGGCAGCCATGATGCATTTGGCTTTACCAGACCAGTAATAACATTGTGGAGCTTTTAACGCCTGGAATAAAGCCACACAGTGTGGCCATGGACAGTCAGTGCAGTTGTTATGAAAGAGCCCTGGGGGTACAGTGAAAGCTGCGTAGAACTTCTGAGCAAGCCTGAGTAGCTTTAAGGCTTTCCATGCGTACTTAGACAATGATTTGCCTTATTTATATAAGCTGAAAAATCTCCCCTTAGTAGAGGCTGTGAGGTTGGCAGACTAGTCGCCAGCTCATGCCAAGGTCTCCGTGTCTCAGTGGGACACTGACAGACACATCCCTGCGATCTGGCTGGTTCATGGGTTAATACAGTATTGACAGAGTAGCATGGGTGCCAGGTATTGTAGGCAGTGGGAGGCTAAGCATCCCCAAAGAGCCTAATGTAGCTCAGCCCCCTGACCAGTGCACTTCCCACAGGGAGTTGGGATTAGACATGTTGCCTTCCCAGTACTCTGGGGACTGGAGCCCTGGGGCTGAAGCTGCAGCACATCAGAGCTGGGGCCTGGCCTTCCTGCCCCCAGCTGAGCAGTGCTGAGGTCATGGACTGCAGTGTGTGTGCTTTGGGCTCCTCGGGGGTGAGTAGGGTAGAAGAGAGGGGCACAAGGGGAGAGTCCAGCAGCTAGCCTCTCCAGGTGTCCGGGTCACTGGCCATCCATGCTTTGTAACCAAGATTTGAAAAGTGTGGCCATTTTATAGCTGAGTCACCAAACACTGCCTAGTGTTTGCAGTGTTCTAGTAGTGTTGGTCTCAGGATATGAAAGGGAGATACGGTAGGTGCAGACCGGGGCTTGCTGCACACTTGTGTGGCCACTCAGAAGACAGTCAAATGCTACCCAGCTGATTAGCAGAGCACCCACTGGTAGGTTTTGTGTTTTTATTGATGGTGCACATTTACACATGCTTGCTGCACATAAAAATTATTCCACACACGGATGGAAAAATTCCATACCTGGATGGAAAAAAATAGAGATGTGCAACAGTCTCTTTTGTTGGATCAATACAGAAGAAGCACTCAGTGTAACATGAAAGCTCAGCTCTTCAGTCTACAAAAGTTGGGCCAATAAATGCTTTTAGCTCACGGCCTTGTCACACTATAATGACAACAAAGTGGCTACAAACAGGCCGAACTGTGCAGTATAAATGTTCAGCAGAAAAGTATCTTAGGAAAAGAGGACACTGCAGGATTCACTGGCGTCTCATCTTTGATCACTTCTGTTAACTTCATTTTTTATCCTGCTGCTAATACACCTTTCCCTCGGCCCCGTCCCTTCAATTCAATGTGGTTTCAGGCGGGAGGAATAGGGGGGGCACTGATTGTACTGAGTTTCTGATATGAAATGTTTTGTATTCACATAAATAGCACAGGTTGCAAACTGAGCCAACCCATATTTTAGTGCTACAGATGTGCTGCTAGTTTTTGCTATTTCAGAGCGCTGGCGTGATTTAGATTAGGATTAGCAGATAACAGTTTGTAGGTAAAATCTTCTCAGACTGGGAATAAATATCACAGGAGCAATTGCCTTAGATCATTATTCCTTATGGCACAGTGGCCCTGAACTGGCCCTGCTCCCATCCAATCATACCATTAATTACTTACATTTACATACGTGTCTTGAGTTTGTACCTGCAAAGTGATGCTAGTGTTGAATCAGTTTATACTGGCAAAACTGCAGCTATTCTGCTAAAAACACCATTTAGCTGCAGCTTTGCCAGTATAAACCAGAGTGTCTACAATAGGGGCTTTGACAGCAGAGGGATGTGAAGCAATGCAATTGCCTGACTTACATGCAGCTTCTCTGTGGCAGCAGAAAGCAGAGATCCCCAGCCTCATGGCATTCTGCTTCCCGCTGCTGTAGAGAAGCCAGGTGCAGCAGGCAGGAAGAGCAGAGCAGGATGGAGCAGGCTGCCATCTGTTCCAGCTCCTGCTGCTATGGTGAGTGCAGGAGGAGGAGGTAACCCCTGCTGCCACATGGCCCCTAGTAATTCC